GATCTATTGTTCAGGGTGATGGTGAAATAGATGGGGATATTATCAGTAGAATTCAAGTTGGATGGTTGAAGTGGAGGAATGCATCGGGCTTGTTACCTCAAACTTAAGGGAAAATTCTATAAGATGGTGGTGAGGCCTGCAATGCTTTATGGTGCCGAATGTTGGCCATTAAAAGAGAAGCATAATTCTTTGTTAAGTGTGGCAAAGATGAGGATGCTCAGGTGGATGAGTGGCTTTACCCTTAGAGATAGGATATGAAATTAGCATATACGTGAAAAGGTTGGAGTAGCTCCAGTAGAAGATAAGATTAGAGAGAGTCGCCTTAGATGGTTTGGTCATATAAAACGACGACCTTCCAATGACCGGTTAAGAGAGTAGAGGTATTAGATTTGACTTATGTTAAGAAAGGTAGAGGCAAACCTAAAAAAGACTTGGTTAAAAAATATTAGGAATGACCTTTCTTTATTAGATTTTAACGAGAATTTGACCTTTAATAGGACACAATGGAAAAAAAAATTCATATAGCCGACCCCACGTAGTGAGATAAAAGCTTGATGATGTTGTTGTTGTTGTTGTAAAAAGTATGCATTATAAAAGAAATATTTTGAGTAATTTGTATGAGTATAAAAGAAATGCATGATTTTTTTTTTTTTTGAAGTAAAGTGAATGCAATGTAAAAAAGTTGTGCCCAGAGTTGTTGGTGGTGGTCAACAGCCAGCAGCCGATGTTGGAGGGCAACAGTGGTGGAGGCAAAGTTGCCATTAGGTGAAGAAGACTGTCTGGCAGTGGTGGTTGGTGATGGCCTACGGCGATAGTGGTCGGCGGAGGCCGACAACAACAGCAATGGGTGGGATTGGCAGCCAGCGGCCATGGTAGTGCGCGATGGGCGTTGACGGCGACAATCGACAACGGGGTGGCAACGGAGATAGTGGCCATCAGCAGTGGTCAAGCAAGCTTTGGAGCAGTGTAAACTATTTCGCTTAAAATTGGACGATAACAACTTATCTCAAAAAAGAACTAGAATGATATACACTGTATTCGCTTTACCTTGGATTTATTTTTCATCCAACCAAACATCAATATTTTCAAAACCCCTACATTTATTATACTTTACACTCATTTTACTCCTAACCCCATAGAACCATAATTGAATTATTATCAAACTAAATAAGATCGAACACAAACAAGCTTTTTTGAGAGCTTCACAATCACCCAAATATATGATCAAGATCAACTAAACAAAACATTTAAAGTAGGACATTAAAGACACATAATCATACCCCAGTTCATCATTACTAAAACCATATGTTAAAGTAAATAATCCACTCTAATAACAAGCATAAAACCAAGAAGAAGAAAGTGGTAGAGATTTACAAAAAAAAAATTTCAAGGTTAACAGTACTGGACTGATTAATTATGTTAGATCAACTTATTTACTAATGTCATAATATTTCACCCAGATTTCGTTTATTTTCTTTAAAAAAAAAGCCTCATAAAGTTTACAAAGAAAAAGATTTGAGAAAATGGAATGCTGATTAACAAAAGTTTCTTCCAAATCAATGAAAAATTGCACAGGAATGAGAGCAGCGTACAGCCACAAGCAGCATACGGCAGCTCATTATATGTGATAAATGTCATCAATGGGCACCAGAACTTCCAAAAATAAAGATCTGAGGTAAAAGAAATTGGAGTTAGAATATGAATTTCAGGAGTTAAAATTTTGTGCAGAAAATGAACTATTTCAGAGGGAAAAAAGGTTGCTTATTGCAAATATTTTAAATTTATAATGCACCGACACTTCTCCTCAATGAGGTATGCAGTTTCAGACACATTAGACACAACACGCCTCCGACACGCCTCCGATACATATCAGAAATGCCAAAGATGTGTCTAATTAAAAAATATAAAAAATTGGACAAGTGTGTCCGACAAACGTAACTTAAATATTTTATTATTTTTTTAATAACTTCTTATATTATAAATTTTTATTTATTAAAAAATATATATTTTTTATTTCCTCTCAACAACCACAAATCGATTGCCCACACTCAATACTCCATTTTCCAAACATACCATTTTCATTTCTATCGAAACTATAGTTTCACAACGCCCAATGTCATTGCATCATCGACATCCGACGTCGTCACAACATGAATGTTTCAAAGCCATATGAAAATCAAAGTTTGACGCTGGCCCTTTCTACCCCCACAGTCACGTCCTCGCATCGACTCGACATCTCATCTTTGATCAACATCATCTCAACATAGACAACCGACACTGTCTCGACAATGATGCTCAATGGCCGACTCTTGATAGCATTATTTTCGTCTCCCCTCTCGACACTTCTAACACGACATCTTGGCAAAACTCTAGACATCCTAATAGTAATCATTTTAATCACAAATTCTAGTTAAATGATTTATTATTTTTCAATTACTCCTAATATTCTGCTTACTCAATTTCTATACACTATGTTAAGATATAAAATTATAATATTGTGTCTCATCCACGTTCGTGTCCTATTTAAGACTACAATTAAATTAGTCAAATAGTAAATTTAGTTATAATCACCTTTTTTTAGACAACAATCACAATACTATTTTACTACAATAAGAATCAACTTTTTATAACTAAATTTACTATTGTGTGAAAACTACAAATAAATTTATATTCAGCTTTTCTAGAAGGGAAAAAAATTGCAATAATCTTAAAATCTTTTAAAAAAATTTATTTACTCTACAACACTATTTTTAGATAGTTGTAGCCATCCCAAATGAACTCTAAATGACATACCAAAGGCAACATAGCTGATAATCTTTATTTTTTAAAAAATTTCAAAGGAATAGGAACAAACCATTTTATTGCATGCTCAACAAAGTATCACGCATGAGCTTCTCAGGGGCTGCACAGAAAGATAAATGAGTAATATCCAGAATTTGGTCAAGAGGGAACCATGGCAATCTTTGACAAGGCATCAGCTAAGATTTTACCTGGTAAACCAGTGAAAAGTTCAAACTGACCCATGGCTTGACGTATAAACATCTCCATTCCAGTAACAATGGTCACTCCAAGCTCTTCTGCTTCACGAAGAAGTCTGGTCACCACTGGGTTGTATATAGCATCAAAAACCAACGCGTATGATTTCAGAGCTTGCTGCAATTATATAAGCAAATAAGATTGAATACACATAAAAAAGTGCATGATATAAGCAAAACTTTCTTTTTGTTAGTAGGCCCAAAGAGAATAAAGAAAAATATGAAATAAAATAAAGGCACCAAAAAATAAGCCACATGCAGAATATAATTTTGTGGAATAGGTTTAGCACCCCATATAACGCTAAACGAGGATGAAAGAAAATTAAGGATCCATAAATCCCACAAAAAATTATTGGGATATGGCAAAACCATAAGTATTTACCATGGACTTGACCCTAGGGTTGCATGGTTAATCCATATGGGTTATTATGGTCCATTGCTTTGTTCTTTCAGCTACAAGCATAAAGGGGGAGACAGTCAAATCCCAACTACCCTCGACTCCAAGGATATAAAAATGAACAAAGAAAAATATGAAATAGAATAATGGCAGAGGACTTAGGCTTTGTTTGGGACGGCTTTCTTACTGTTTCTAAAAGCAGCTTTCTAGTGACTAAGGCTTCGTTTGGGACGGCTTTTTTATTGCTTTCTAAAACGGAGTTTTAATACAAAAATAAAAAAAATTTGTACTAAAACTCCGTTTTAGAAAGCAATAAAAAAGCCGTCCCAAACGAAGCCTAAAATTTAATTTTTGCACTAGAAAGCTGCTTTTAGAAGCAGTAAGAAAGTCATCCCAAACAAAGCCTTAAATAACAAAATGGCACCCTCCCTCCATTTCTTTGTTGATATAGTCACTGAACATATCTATCATAAATGCATGCTAAATTTCAATGTAAAAGCTCAAGATAATTTGCTACACTCAATATTTTTTATCTTCCTCAGAATGTAATAGCAGGTACCGTGCATCAACACTCACTAAATTACTTGTTAAAGAAGAAGAACACAAACCTTGGAGAGAGGGGTGTCATGAATGTTTGGGTGCATTCCTATTGATGTTGTATTTGCAAGAATCATCCCTTCCTCTGGATGGAAATTTTCTAAATCTGCAAGTGATATAGGCTGTCCTCCAACTAAGTTGGCAAGTTCTTTGGCTCGCTCTGGCAGTCAGCAGAAATAAAATGGTGTAATGACAAGAAAAAAGATGTATCATAAGGTCACTAAAAAAAAAATTGGCTTTACGTCGTTTTTATCAACTTAGTTATAGGTGGCCTCACAGGATGAGGATGTAAAATTCTCCTAACAATCACAAATAAACTGTTTAGATTATAATTATCACACGAGTAACTGTATAGTACACATGAAGTTCTAATAAGTGATGATCCCAAAATCACAATTTCTCCGATTAGTAATTTTCAAGTAAGAAAACAAAAAGAAGTCAACGGTGATGAGCTCTCCTATAGCTATACAAGTAGATTAATCAGTAATATTATATCAAATGTATGGTTAGAAACTTCAGATATATAAGCTTCTAAGTTATTAGCGACTATGAGGATTATATATAATTACATGAGCATAAATTCATAATCTGGTATCCTTCATAACACGAACCCACTAAAGGGAATTAAGTCATATATTTCCATTTTATCAACCAAAAATTAATGAATTTGATCAACAAGTTACTACTGCAACACAATACTCATCATAATCACACCATGAACCTTCTTCCATAATGCTAGCCTAACGATGAGGAAAAAGACTCCCTTGTTAGAATTGAGGTTCATAGTATTCCTTTACACATTAAGAATATGCAACAATTTGATGCAAATGTGAAAACTGTGCTGCACTGTAGAAAGGGAAAAGATAATGTTACCATATGTACGGTTTGCTATCACAACTCTTGCACCTTTTTCTTTAGCACCATAAGCAAGTGCTTTACCAGCACCACCAGCTCCTAAGACGACAAAAACCTTATCAGCCAGAGGAGAACCAGCCGAAACCTTCCCTGAAGAACCTGTTCAAAGGTCATAACAATATCTCAACTGATGTTAGATAGATAAATTTTCAAAACGATTTGCCACTTATGTGTTAGACAACAGCTTGGAAGTAACAGATTACGCCAAACACCTTGTAGTGTTGTTTCAATAGCAGAAATTGCACCAGTGTAGTCTGTGTTATAACCTATTAGTTTTCCATCTGATGGACGTTTTATCAATGTATTTACAGCCCCAATATACTGAAAAAGAAAATCAAGAACAAAAAAAATACATTAGATGCAGATGCATGTAGCAAGCTTTCTGATAGTTCTTGCAGAGCTTACCTTAGCAATTGGATCAACTTCATCAGAACATGCAAGGGCAGCCTCCTTATGAGGCATCGTAACACTGAAACTCAGATAAAAGAAGTGTTAAAAGTCCAATAACTTCAATGAAAATATAGTACCTTGACAAAAACCAACAAAGCATTCTTATTATTATTATTTTGCCAACAACTGACTTCTTAACTCTAATTCCACTCAAATTTAAACTCCACCAAATATAGCTTTACTCTCCTAATAGGAGAGCCCCACATCCACCAATGGAATCACAACAATAATTTAAAGCCTTCACAAGCAGCATCACCATTGTTGGTATCAGGGCTTTAGAGATTGGTGGACAGCACTTGCATTGTAAGGTGGACACCAAGGAAATGAGAAGCTTCTAAAGGCTTTTGCAAATAGTGGGGTTGAATTCTCAAGAGGTAATCTTTATAATTTTAGACTTTGTTTACTTTATTAGTATTTGATTTTTCATTGCAATCACATGTGGTAGATAGCTTGTTTAATGCAAAATCTTTTAAACTATTGCATTGTTTCCAACTAGCTGTCTCACGAATTAAGCCTAGTCATCAACGTTTGAACCTTTCAATCCTAATTGACTAGAGAGGATCCAAATCAGAAAGGGAGTGTTCCACTTAAAGAAAATAAACCTTTCCTTTGATTCCAATTAACATAGGAAAACTAATTTGAACACTTAAGGGTTTTGTCTTAAACTAGTTTAGTTATTGTGTTTGTTGTTTCTACTTGTGAATTTACATTGTGTGAAGGCTCAAAAAATATTTTCCAAAATCATTTATATTTCTTTTAATTAAATCAGCCAGTATTTTATATTGAAAATTTTATAAAAAATTTTATTCAAATTATAACATTAAGCATTCAATCATACCTCCAAAATCTTCAAGTAAGCAATAAGAGGATAGATGAATTAGAATTGCAAAACTAGCAAAATAATGAAAATTTTAAGAGACTCCAAGAGTTTATAGTCAACCTAATCACCCAAGTTCAAAACCCAAGTATTAGGATACAAATCCCACCATTAGCACCAAATCCTGTAAACACTGAAACAATTGGAGAAGACTTCATGAAAAATCCTAAGGAGCACACTCATCCTAAAAGATAACTCTATAGGAACAACCATAGGAATCAAGAAACCTTGAATCTATCAAGAAAGTTAAAGCAAATGCTCCTAACTATAACAAAGTCCATGACCCAAACAAAATCATTGAATGGCTTACCCAAATAGATGAGTTTTTTTAGGGCTACAAACGAACTGAGCCGAGCTGAGCTTCGGCATGTTCAAGCTCGAGCTCGTTTCCCAAGTCCGTCTTTGAGCTCGTTTAAAAATTCCCTGTTCGAGCTCAGTTCGTGTTCATGTTCAAGCTCGACTCAATTTAGGCTTGACGAGCCTATTAACAAGCCCCTATTCGAGTTCAATTCATTTTAGGCTTATCGAGACTATCAACGAGCTCGAGCCTATTAACAAAATTAAATTAAGTTTATTTTCTATCTACTGGGCTTGCCAACTTGTTCACCATAGCCTAAGGATTTCTTTGTAGGCACGACATGTTTGCAAGCCTTCAAACGAAAGCCCAATATCTTTCATTATATATGGAAAAATCAACTTCTCATTTACAATGTGGGGGACTAAACAAAAATGTTCTCTTTTTCCTGATGTCGTGATGCCTGAGCGAGAGCCTCGAGCAGGATCGGGAGCGAAGAGTAGGATCGAACAACGGAATCGAGAATTTAAAATTAAATTATTAAATATTTAATTTAGTAAAATTAATTTAATAATATTCGAGCTTAAAGCTCATTTGTTGAATATTGTAGGTCATGGGATTAAAATTTGACTAAAAATAAGATCATCATAACTAACTGAATTACAAAAGAAAATTAGTGGAGCTAAGCAAAGGAGTAGAAGAAATTTGTTTAAAGTGATTCTGTTGGGGAAGATGATGAGTAAACACCATAATGACAAAACAAAACAAGAAAGAAAAAGTAGCGGAAAAGTAAAGGATGTCAAGATTTAACGTGGAAAAACCCAAAATAGGAAAAACCACAGTGTCACACCACACCAAGAAATCCACAATGAAAATTGAGAGAAATAAGTACATATCTCTCTTCTCTCTTACTCTCTCATTCCTTCTTTTCTCACATGCATCGTTTTCAATGTCTACACACTCAAAATACAAGAGAAAACTAAGTAAAATAACCTCAAGAGACGCAACCCTTCAGAAAAACGAGAAAGAAAAATCGTCCAGTCCATCTCGCAGCACTACGGCACTGAAGCCTCTGTCTTGCATCCTTGCAGCACCGTATCTATACCGCTACGGCACTCTTCTCACCATCGTTTAGTGCTGGGGCGCTCAGGAACAGCGCCGATGTACTCAAGTACGCAGCGCCAGGGTGTTGTACTAGAACTCAAGCACGGGATAACCCCCCCCCCCCCCCCCCCCCCCCCCCCCCCCCTCCACGCACCTCCTAGAGAACACGACAAGCTTTAAGGTCCGAGACAACAGAATAATCAGATTGATCAACACAATCAAATTCCATACATACCAATCTCCCACTTGGAACTGACAGCAATCAATCCTTCTCCTAGTCTATAACACCAATCATAGTACTGGTAATGTGGCTCAACCCTGCTCCCATCCTCCATGAAAACCAACTGATGTTATTCAGTTTATCAACTGTCACCATATTCGTCAGCATGTCTGCAGGATTCCCGTTTGTGTATCTTCTCCAAAGATAACTAGTCATCTTCCAGAAGCGACCTGTGAAAAGATACCGAAGATGGATCTACTACGTCCTGGCATGAAATGTAACATTCTTGGCTAGATGTATAGCACTCATGTTGTAGCTATGTAGCTTCCCATTGTAGCTATGTAGCTTCCCATTCCTTTGTCCCTTGCAAAGTTTTGTCAAAAAACTTTGCAACCAAGTCATCTCTTTGCTAGCCTCAGTGATAGCAATGTACTTAGCTTCTGTGGTTGACAGCGCAATAATCTTCTGTAACTTGAAAACCCAACTGACTGCAGTCTTTCCCAAAATGAAGATATAACCTGTTATGTTTCTCATACCATCAAAATCTCCAACAAGATTAGAATCTACATAACCCTATAGATCAATCTCTGCACCACCAAAGCAAAGAGTTTTATCAACTGATCCTCTCATGTATCTGAGAATCCACTTAACTGCCACCCAATGAAGTTTGCATGTGTTACTCATAAATCTGCTGACAACTCCCACTGCATATACTATATCATATCTTGTACATATCATATCATGCATCAAACTTCCAACTACTTAAGCATATGGAGTCTTCCTCATCTGTTCTTCCTCTGCGTCAGAATTAAGTGATTATTCCTTGGATAACTGAAAGTGACTACCCAATGAAATGCAAATTAGCTTTGCCTCACTCATGTTGAATCTTTGAAGCACTTTTTCAACATATTCTGCCTGAGACAACTTCGTTATACCTGCACTTCTATCTCTACTGATTCTCATACCAAGAATTTTCTTTCATTGAGTTAGATATTTCATTTCAAACTCCTTTGATAACTATTCTTTCAGACATCTTATCTTCTTCATATTTGAACCTGCAACCAACAAAACATCTACATACAAAAGTATAATAATATAACAGCTAACAAAATGTTTGAAAAAACAATAGTGATATGCCTAGTATTTTGTATACCCATTATCTAGCATAAACTTGTCAAATCTTCAGTGACATTGTCTTAGTGCATGCTTTAGTCCATGTAAGCTACATACCAACTCTTCATTGCCAGTGACCACATATTCTTAAGGTTGCACCATGTACAACTCTTCATCAAGGTTACCATAAAGAAATGTTGTCTTTACATCCATCTGCTCTAGATGTAAATCCTCCACTACTAACATGCTCAGTACAACTCTGATTGTAGTCATCTTCACCACTTAAGAGAAAATTTCAATTAAGTTCACTTCTTCCTTCTATTGAAAACCTTTAACTACAAGCATGGTCTTGTAGTGCTTGCTACCATCAGGTTTTTCTTTCAGCATATAAACCCACTTGTTCTGCAGCGCTTTCTTTCCATCTGGTAGCTTTGTCAACTCCCAAGTCTGATTCAATTCAAGTGAATGCATCTCATCATCCATGGCTTTTTCCCACTTCTTTGAATTATCAACTTGAATGGCTTCATCATAGCACTCTGGTTCACCAATATATGTTAACAATAGATAATACAAGGAGAATACTTTATACTGGCCTTGAGATTATGCTAGATCTTCTAATTTCAGTAGCAGAAGTCTGAGATACTCTCTGTGCTTCATCAGCTTTGTCTTCTTGATCATCATAATCCTCTATCTCAACATACTTGGAAGAATTTTCAGGAGTCTCATTTATATTCTTATACATTTCACTTTCATTAAATTTGACATTCTTGCTCCTGATGAGCGTCTGTTTCTAATGATCCCGGAATTGGCAGTCAAATTCATTCGAGCCATATTCAATGAATGTATACTTGATAGATCTTGGATCAAGCTTACTCCTAGATCTTACATCAATATGAACATAGGATGAACAACCAAAAACATTGAGGTGGGATGAATTAACCTCATTTCCACTCCAACTTTCTCAGGTAACCCCTCATTCATAAGAACTGAAGAACCACGATTGATCAGATAAACTGCAGTATTCACTGCCTCTGCCAGAACTGTTTGGATAAAACCTCATGCTCCCAGCACGCTCAACGATAGTTATATTCATACGCTCTGCAACACCATTCTGTTGTGGTGCTCTTGGAAGATGATGAGTAAGCACCACAACAACGAAACAATCAAGAAAGTAAAAGCAACGAAAAAGTAAAGGATGTCAGGATTTAGGCTTCGTTTCGAACGGCTTTCTTTTTGCTTCTTAAAACAATTCTTTGATACAAAAATTAAAACTTTTGTACTAAAAGACTACTTTAAAAAGCAGTAAAAAAGCCATCCCAAACAAAGCCTTAATGTGAAAAAACCAAAAATAGGGAAAAAAAACTACATAGCCACACCACACCAAGAAATCAACTATGAAAATTAGGAGAAATAAGTACATATCTCTCTAACTCTCTCCTTGTTTCTCTTCTCACGTGCACCGTTTTCAATGTCTACACAATCAAAATACAAAAAAAAAGCTTAGTAAAATAACCCCAAGGGGTGCAACCATTCAGAAAAACAAGAACAAAAACCATCTAGTCCATCTCGCAGCGCTAATTTGGGGCACTGCAATGCTAAAGTCTTTGTCTTGCACAGCTATAGTGTCGTATCTATATCGCTACCGCTCTACTCTCTATCGTTCACCCGAACACAAGCAGAGGGGTAAACCCCCAGCACCGCCCTGCAAACACGACAAGCTTTCAGGTTTGAGACAACAGAATAATCAGATTGATCAACACAATCAAATTTCATACATAACAGATTCCACTTCTAAGTACCCATATTTCATATCATTTGTCATCTTCTTCAATTCGAACTGATAAAATTACTGTGAACAAATGACCATTTAGGATGGAGGGATATAAATCTTAAAACAAAGGCTATTGCAGTACTTCTTTGGAGAAAGAATTTAATGTGCAAATGAAAGAGCGACTAGATGAGAAAATAGCAAGGATGTTTTATTCAACTGACCTTCCTTTCAACCATGCAAGGAATCCTAATTACAAGAATGCATTTACTTTTTCTTGTAATAACAACTTGCAGGTTACATGCCACTAGGATATAATGTTATTAGAACAAAATTATTGCAAAGGGAGAGGACAAACATTGAGAAATTGTTTGAACCAACCAAAAGAGTTTGGAAAGAGAAAAGAGTTAATTTGGTTTATGATGGATGGATAGATCTACAAAGATCACTCATTAATTTCATTGTTGTAATAGAGAACTATGTTCATTAAAACTGTAAATTGTGAAAGACAATATAAAGATAAGTTCTTCATTTCTAATTTGATCAAAGAAGTAATCATGATGATTAAACCTTCAAATATCATTCAGGTCATTACTAATAATACACCAGTTTGTAGAGCTATAAACCTACTTGTGGATCAAGCATATCCTCATATTTTTTGGACATCATGTGTTGTGCATACTGTCAATCTTGGTATGAAGAACATTTGCATAGCTAAGAATATGAGGTATATGAAATCACTTATAATGAATGTTATTGGATCACAATGATTGCAGGAGATGCAGTTTTAATTATATTTCATTATGAATCACTCCATGAGACTCTAAGTTTAATGATTTCTTAAATTTAAGAATGCTTGTAGTAGTTGAAACTCATTTTGCCTCAATTATAATCATGCTGAGAAGATTAAAAAAATGTCCTTCAATCTATGGTGATAAGTGAAAAATGGTATTGTTATTGAAAAGATGATATTGAAAAAGGCAATGTATGTAAAAGAGAAAATATTAAATGATTATGGTAAGATGATATTGAGTATATCTTAAATTTTATAGATTCAATTTATAGTATGTTAAGAGTGACAACTACAAATAAGTCATGTTTATATCTCCTTTATGAGATGTGAGATTCTATGTTAGTGAAGGTTAAAGAAATAATATATAGACATGAAAGAAAGTCACATGATGAGGACTCAAATTTTTGGAGTGTTATATATACTATTATGGAAGATAGGCATACCAAAAATAATACACATCTATATTACTTGGCTCACTCACTAAATTCAAAATAAATTTCAACCTATCTTTCATAATTAATTCTCAATTTGTTGAATAATAATTAGCTAATTATATTTCAACTATTATATGAAGATATTCAAGTAAAGAATGGTTTCAAGAAGATCTTCAATATGTTTCTCCACAAAAATATTTAAAAATTTCGAATATAAGACAGGCATGCTTGAAGTGTTATTTCACAAATGAGGAAAGAAGAATGGTCAATATAGAACTTGCTAATTTTTTTGTTTATTTAGAAGACTTTGGTGACCAAAAATCTTTGCGTGATAAGGAGAGAATAAATCCAAAGATGTGATGATTGATTCATGAAGCTTTAGCATCTCTATTTCAAATAAACGCCATAAAACTTCTTAGTCATGCTTCATCCTCCACTTGTTGTAAGAAAAATTAAAGCACGTACTCCTTCATCCAATCAATGAAGAGGAATAAAATTACTCCATAACAAGCTGAACATTTAGTTTATGTGCATACAAATCTTCAGTTTCTATCAAGAAAGACTCCAACTTATATAAAAGGAGATAACAAAATGTGAAATGTTGTTGGAAATGGATTTGAGTTCCTTGATGATATGAGAATATTGGAGATGAATAATTTTTCGCTTACTGAGCCATAATTGGAAGCAATGATATTTATTGAAGATGATATTGAAGTCCAAAGATAAATCCCTAGAGAAGCTAACATATCATTCCTTCTACTGAATAGTTGAAACTTCATGTACTAGACTGTTTATGTTTATGTTTTTGATGTTATATTAGATATTTTATGCTTACTTTTAAATTTATGTTATAAACTACAAGACTAAATATGATGTTACTCTATTATTTATTGTTATTTTAAATATGATACTCTGATTGTTTTCTTAAATTTAATGCATGATTTATAAATTATAATATCGAGGTGCACCAAGGGCCCGTGCAAAATTAAAGTATCACATACATTTTATAATCTTAGCATAGAAATTTATGTTGTAAAATTCAAGTGAAGACTAATAAATGGTAGAAATAGAAAGGTGAAGAAAAAAGAACATTAAAAAGTTTCAATCAACTCTAGATGGACAAAACTAGGTTTTGATTCTTGACTTAAATTAATTAATTAAAACAATGCTAATTTTATATCAAACATCTTTAATCCAAACATGCACTCCAAAATTAATCCTTCATAACCCCAAAAAGTACTATCAATAATAAATAAATAGAACATAATATTATTTTAAAATTGTGCACCAAGGGCTTGAACAAAATTAAAGTAACGCATAAATTTCATAGTTGTCACATAGGAATTTATAGTGTAAAATGCAAGTGAAGGCATATAATTGTAGAAATAGAAAGGTGAAGAAAGAATAATATAAAAAAGTTTCAATCGACTCTAGATGGACAAAAATGGGTGTTGAATCTTTACTTAAATAAATTAATTAAAATCATGCCAATCTTATATCAAACATCTTAGATCCAAAACATGCACTTCAAAAGCATCCTTCATCTAGCCCCTTAACTGATGAAAACACTCATTATGCTATGTCTAGCCTCTAAAAAAAAATTTATTCATAAAAAAACTATTAAATCAATAAATAAATAAATAAAGAATAATGCAGGAACAAACGCTATGTGATATTGTTTTACAAATAAGATGTTAGGTGTATTATGCTATACTATGGAATATACAAGCAAGAGAGTTCTTAATCGCCTTCAAGCTCAGTTGTTGGGTCGAGCATTGGTGACCCATCCAGAGACAATATTCTTGAATTAACCTATGCCTCTTGTTTTATTGATTGAATGCATAACATTGTATTGAGCTCAAGATAACTCACTAATCGGAATTCTCCTAGCAATCAAAGACAAATTTTGAAACACAAAAACCATCATCATCATCATTAACATCATTCCAACTATTTATCTTATGGTTTATTTTTTAAGATAACTGTCAACAACACATCGACCCTCAGCTTACAAAAAAGTAAATTCACACTTTCAGCTTTTGGCAGGCATCTGTGTATTATGGTGGTATTTTTGTAAGTCTTTAGGAAACGGAATGACTAGGCATCTTCTAACAAGAAAAAGGAGGCATCCCTTTCTAGAAAATTTCATGTTTAAGTCATCAAATTTGAAACAATACAGAAAAATCCAAGCACGTAATGCATCTTACCATGAGTAGTCAACACAGGTTGATCAACAAATATATCAAAAGCTCCATGGTAAGAATTCTTAGCGCCATTTCAATTAGCAATTTATCAGCCTAATTGCCATAATCGGTAAAACTTTTGCACAACCAAGACTCTGGCAATAGTTGAAAAGAAACCTTCAAGAAGCATGTAAATGCCAACATGTTAAAGAAGAAGTAGACAGGAAAGCATTATTGTTTGGTTTTACGAAAGAAAACATCAATAATCAACAAGATGCCTTAGTTATTTATTAGATACAATAATTGCTGTTTATTGCATCAGTTAATGTATACTCTTAACATCATAAAGAAAAAGAAATGTTATGGAAATAAGTATAAGAGAAAATAAAATTAAGAAGCACTTTATATATGAAAAAAACAAACCATACCTAAATCCAGCAAAGTCGGGAGATGAATAGGTATGGAGAAAGCTAGCAAAGTCATCCACCAAGAGAGGTAAATATACTGCATCATAGCCAACTGATCTAAATGCAGCACCATGCAAAATGGGTCCTTTACTGTGGCCTACAGGCTTTCCGACAATTCCATATACCTTTGTATCGGCTCTTATCTGTTTAATATTGTAAATATCCAACAAGTCCGAGAGAGTAGGCTGACCAGGAGCTGACTCTTTTCCCACACTGAGAGTAGCAAAAGTAAGATATCCACCAAACTTCGGACAAAGTATCCGTGATATTAATCCTCTCTCTCCCATTACCAATCCAATCATTGGCACCTGCTGTTCCTATCCTTTAGTCAGATAGAAACTACTTAAATATGCATCATAACCTAGAATTCAAGTTCAGAAATGTAGATATAAGTTCTAAGCTAAGGAAGAAGTCTTTCAAAATATAGAGGCCAAAGCCTTTCAAACAAAAGAGGCCAAGATGTTAAACACATCGAGAAATGGGGCATACAATCAAAATCCATATGGAGCAATTATGCAAGCCACGTATCATAACCAACAACATGATTGGCATTGCATAATAAGAAACAAAAGGTCAGAATGCGGATATTCATTGATCGAATGGGTAAGAAGTTGGAGCAAAAGCACAGAAGAATTGTTGCAAAATCGTGTATTGCAAACAATTGCCATGCACCATCTTAGCTAGATTCAATATTGGCACACTAAACGTAAAATAAGCTCGCTCAAGAAAATGGTGTTAGGCACGAACCCAGCTTTTCAGGCTTAGAGCTCCATTTTCCTTGAGGTAGATTGATTTTTAATTAACCAGATTTTCCCTGATGTCCATATCAGGGTTTATTTAGATATGGGTTCTTACTTCCTATGAGCGCAAGCCCTCATAGTTAATTACACCTCCCACTTCCTAGAAGATAACTCTCGATCAAGGATGAATCACTTTAGCAAAGCTTTGGAATGTTAAGTTTTAGTCTCATTAATGGGAGGGGAAAGAGAGACTCGATCAAGATTCTATGGTTCCGTCATCCCGGACATATTATAGACCTCAATCTATCAACGCCAACAAACCATTGGTTTCAACATCCAGGAAATCTGATTAGCAACCATAAGTTACCTCCTCTCCGGGATCACGAGTAGGCTGAGGTGATTTATTATTAATTTTGGTTTGTTATGGTTTAAGTTTTGGGGCTTATATATGTTAGAATGACCTGACCGTTAGTTTATGTAGTTTGGGGCTTATTACTCCACTTAGGAGTTACCCAATAATTTAGTTTAGGATGGGGCTTATGACTCCGCTTAGGAGCATGGTTTAAAATTGCGCAATATGAGGCTCGCCTTGAGGCCCGCCTTTGCGCAATTCCAGTAAAAAACGCCTCGATGCTTACGCCTCGAGTTTTTTTATGAGCTTGCCGCCTCAAATTGGTTGAGGCCCGCCTCGCCTCACTAGCATGAGGCTTACGCCTCATGCTATATATATTAAAACTTACATAAATCTTGAAGTAAATGCTCGACATTGGACTCTATAGGAGAGGAGGAAGGGGAGAGAGCAGATCATCATAATGATGATTCAAATTAAGAACCCCTTAGTGATGACAGTGCTGATGACTTATGAGTTCTTATGTGATATGTCATTGCTATTTATTTTTGGAAATTAAAATTATATTTTAATGAAAAGAATACTGTGATTTGAGATAGATAGAATTTTGAGTTGAACTATATTTCATGTTGTCTTATTATTGGGATATTTTGATTTCACTTCATATCTTAAGCTTTTTTATGTTTTATATTATTCACTCATTAGTATATAAAAATTTATTATTTTATGTTTACGCAATCTTTTGATTTTGAGGCTTACGCCTCAAAACGCCTTGAGGCTTACGCCTCGCCTCACGAATGAAAAACGCCTCAATACCCGAATACCCAATTTTAAACATTGCTTAGGAGTTCCCCGGTAGTTTGAGTTGGAATGGGGCATATGGTTCGGCTTAGGAGTTGTCCGTTAGATTTGTTTAGGATGGGGCTTATGGTTTATCTTAGGAGTTGCCTGATAATTTAGTTTAGGTTGAGGCTTACGGCTTTGCTTAGTAGTTGCCCGTTAGATTTGTTTAGGATGAGGCTTACGGCTACACTTAGGAGTTGCCCGATAGTTTTAATTTGGGATGGGACTTATGGTTTCACTTAAAAATTGCCAATCTATTGGATTTAAAATAGGACTTACTGCTTCATTTAGAAGTTGTCTATATATTGGACTTGAAATAGGGCTTACTGCTTCATTTAGAAGTTGCAAGTAGATTGGATTTAGTTTGGGATCGAACTTATTGCTTCACCTAGAAGTCACTTAATCTGACTTAAAATTTGTTACTTCATTTAAAAACTTTCCCGACAAATTGGTTAAAGTAGGTCTTACTATTTCTTTTAGAAGTTGCATGATAACTTAGGATTAGTTTGAACATGATTTAGGGTTACTTCACTTAAAAGTCCCCCTAATGAATTGATTAAAAATAGGTCTTACCGCTTCTATTTAAAAGTAGTTTGTTAGATTTATTGGTTGAACTTAGAAATAATTACTTTGGTTTCACTCTCTTCTTAATTCAGCAACTTTCTTTTCGTTCCAATACTGCTATTTTTTGGTGCATCACTAGAATTTGCTTTAGCATATTATGCCGCATCTATATTTGCATTTTTATTTGCTTGCATGTATTGGAGCCCGCACTAGTTGGAGTTTGTTTTTAATTTTGTTTGGGATTTGAGTTTGTTTTGTAAAACCTGAAATTTGTTGTTTGTGCGTCGCACGCATTTCGATGCGCCGTAACGAACTTAGGCGAAATTTCAGTACCGTCGGAATTCGGCGAAATAAATTTTATTAAATTCATCACGAAATTTCAATCGAAACGATATAAAGAACCTATACTTAATTCCGCACGGATTTGAAATTAAAAATCGCCGAAGATGTTTAAGTAAAATTAGTCATCTTATGCCCATCCTGCTCTCATGAGCCCTTAAGGAAAATTGATTTGCAAGGGTACAAGTGTAATAAGCCACTTAAGAGAAATCCTTTAAGCCCTCATCCTCCTAGGGACCGATCCATTCAGTCCCTCTTGTTTCTTCGGCCGCACGCGAGAGAGAGGGAGGAGAGGCGACAGGAGGGCTCGGCGGGCGGTGAACGGCGGCAGTTTCCGGTGAGCTTTTAGAGGAAAGAGGAAAAGGAAGCTTAGGGAAGAAAGAGGTAAGTGTTAAACTTAATGAATCTTGTTTTATTCATGAGATTTTCTTGAAGTAAAATTTAGGGTTTTGACTTTTTTTTATGGGGCTTTCATAGGAAAGTATTAGGGATAGTTTGTGTGCATATTCCTAAGTAAGAAAAGGAATGTTTATTAAGAAAAATTTTAGTTTCAAAACTTAGGGTTTCATGAAACTTTTACTTTAGATGAGGATTGGTGTTACGAATGATTTAGAAGCATAATTGAAATAAGATTTCAATTTTTCCTTAAAAAATTTGTAGAATTTTAAAATAGGGCTTTTCCAAAAATTAGGATTTTGATCTTGCATGCTCATAAATGTTGTTCCTAATGGTTTAGGGAGGCCTCTAATGAAAAGAAAATGAAATTTTGATAAAAAAAATTATTTTTCCCTAATTTATTAATTAATTTAATACAAAAATAATTTATATAATTATTTATTAGATGAAGGGAATATTTTTGTATGCTTAGGAGATGAAAATAATAAATTTTGAAATTCTAAAGTTTAGGATTTTTGATAAATCCGAAAATAATATGAAAATAACTTTTTAAATTTAATGAAATTAGTATAATCTTAGGGTTCCAAAATTTGGTTTAAAGTGCACCTAAAGTGCAACTAAAGGGCACCTAAAGTGCACCTAAAGTGCAACTAAAGTGGCACCTAAAGTGCAACTAAAGTGCACCTAAAGGGCAACCAAAGGGCACTTAAAGAGCAGCTAAAACGCAGCTATGTCATCAAAAGCATATTTCATTAGGGCTAAAAATGATGACTAATATGAAAAGTGAAATAAAGCCTTAAGATTTGGGTATATGGGTGTGAGCTAGTGAGCTTAAGAGGGGATTTGTGTAATATAGATGTTTATTTTTGGAAAGAAATTTATATTGTATTGCTTTCTTTAGGTTTTGGAAAGACGAGGTTCAAGTAGAGAGGTGAAGTGGATGTTTGCATAGTACTTTTGAGGTAGGATCCTTTTTTCTTACATGACCACATGTTCATTTACCTTATGTTTACTTCATATTTAAGATACCATGTTTACTTCATGTTTAAGATACCATGTTTACTTCATGTTTAAGATACATGTCCATGTTCAAGATACATGTCAAACATTTACTTTATGTTTACTTCATGTTAAAGATACATGTCAAACATTTACTTCATGTTTGAGATATATCAAGTTCTATGGAAAGAATTTATACTTCTATGAAAAGAACATGAAAATGCTTGTGCATGATGCTTGCGGAGTACCAAATATGGTGCAAAAGCACAAATATGGCTCTATGAGCAATACGAGAACAATATGGCCCTTTGCGGCAAAAAAGGAAAAGAAATAAATGGCCAAAAAGATGTTTGTGTACCTGATCAGTACACCCCTGGTACTCCGGTACGGTTGTATACGAAAAAGTATAAATAAGTATATGATATGACATTCATTATATGATATAGATAAGACATATGCATACAACATACATAAAACATTTAACATTCTTAAGATATGAAAGTTAGCATAAGTAGGAAAAGAAATCAAGGCATGTTCCTTTTAGCTTAAAATATAAATTTTCATTTTAATGACATGTGAGCATGTTAGGATTAGAGATTCCTATTGAGCGTTAGCTGATTCCCTCGTGTTGGGATACTTTTCAGGAGAACCTTCTCATAAATGATGGTGGAACACCCAAGGTTCACATACAGTCATCGTGTACCGGCTGACAGGTTCTTCTGTTATTTTCCTAGTTGAAGTTGATTTCATTTTGGGTGGTTTTAGCATGACATGAATAGTTTAATTTTGTAACCACCTTGTTCCAATTGATATTAACATTAAATTATCCAACATAGATAACAAGAGATGTATGAAAGAAATCACTTACAAAAGAGAATTATTCTGACCTAAAATCCTTCTTCGTTCTTTCCCAAATTTCTTTCTCTCCGCTTTCAAATGTCTTCCTTTGCCTTTAATGAAACACTCTTGCTATTTAAAGGAAGAATTAGGAAAGGATTAATACATAAACGGAGAGAGAAGAAATAAACCTTCTCTCTTTCTTCTTCTCAGCCGTCCCCTTTCAACAGGAACTTTCCCTCTTGATATTTCTTCTACCGGAGAGAGCGAACCAACAAAATCCTGTGAAATGAGTCGTTACTTTTCATCCTTATTCACGAAAATCCAATCGACATAAAATTTTAAGCCGTTCGGGAGGGGATTTGCAAGCGGGCGGCACGCGTGCGGTCCGCCTGGGCCGCGATCTCCCTCCCGCGAGCCTCTGTTTAATGGGAGGGGCCGGTTCAATTGAACCAGTTGAACCGGTCTTTACATCTATTTTGAAAAGAAGCGCCATGGGACCATGAAATAACAATATGCCAATTTATAAAATCGTGACAGTTTTTTAGCCATCCAGGCTCTCAATGATATCCACTCACACACAAAAACTACACCGAAGTTAAAAACAAGCCAGATTTGGATGAAACTTCTGTTTTAAAAAACAAGAAAGTCTACTATGAAGTCTTGCATAGAAAGATCGGCTAAAGATGGGGCATTTACAGCATTCATCAAAATCAATTTTAGATTATTTCAAGAATATTTAACTCTTGAATTATTTTTGATATAGTTCAGTTTTACTGCATTTACTTGATAGGATAATCACTATTTTTAAGTAAATGATAGAATTTTTAACCTTCATCTAGATATGAAACAAATTAATTTGATTTTCTCTTGCAACCTTATTGCTCTCTCTCTATTGCTTACTGTATATTTTGGAATATTTTATGAACAAAGTAGCTATTTTATCACTAATTTTTGCAAGTATATAACTTTAGATATAAAAAAATTGATTACATTCACATCAGCGTTTAGAATTATCCAAATTAGTTGCATGCATCACATATTTGCCTTGCATGTTCTTCATATATTGCATATTCAATTATATTTATTCATGATAATTACACTAGGGGATGTATATGAGAATCTGGTCCAAACTTTTAAACAATTGAGCCAATGGTTCAAATTTTATAAAATCATATTTAAACTTAATATACAAGAGTATACACTACAACAAGAACTTCAAGCCTTTATCCCACTATATGGAGTCGGCTACATGAATCCTTTTTCTCCATTGTGCTCTGTTAAAAGTTAAATTCTCATTTAAATCTAATAAAGAAATGTCATTTATAATATTTTCTAACCAAGTCTACTTAGTTCTACTTCTCCCTTTCTTAAGTCAAATCTAATAAATCAAATTTCCTAATCAGGTCATCAGAAGGCTGCCGTTTTATATGACCAAATCATCTAAGGCTACTCGCTCTAATCTTATCTTCCACCAGAGCTACTCCAACATTTTCACGTATATGCTCATTTCGAATCCTATCTCTAAGAGTAAAGCCACTCATCCACCTGAGCATCCTCATCTCTACAACACTTAACTTAATATTATGCTTCTCTTTTAATGGTCAACATTATGCACCAACAAGCATTGCAAGTCTAACAACCATCTTATAGAATTTTCCCTCAAGTTTGAAGGGGACTTTTCTATCACACAACAAGCCCGACGCATTCCTTCACTTCAACCATCCAACTTGATTTCAACTAATAATATCTCCATTTATTTCACCATCACTCTGAACAATAGACCCAATATATTTAAGTGTGTACTCTTATTAATGACTTGATCACCCAAAGTAACTATCCCCTACAAGAACCATTATTACTAAAATTAAACTCTATATATTCAGTTTTAGATCTACTCAAACGAAAGCCTTTAGACGCTAAGGTTGAACTCTATAATTCAAGTTTACCTTCAACTCTCTCTCTAGCCTCATCAACAAGAAGAATATCATCAGCAAAAAGAATACACCAAGGTACATCCTCTTGCAAATGTCTAGTGAGAACATCCATGACTAAAGAAAAATGATATTGGCTTAAGGCTAATCATTGATGTAATCCAACTGAAATAGGAAAATACTTGGTCAAACTACCTTGTGTTTGAACATAAGTAACAACTCATGCGTACATATCCTTAATGACTTGAATATAAGCATTATTAACCCATTTCTTTTCTAGAACTCTCCATAGCACTTATCTTGGAACTTTATCATATGCTTTCTCTAAATCAATAAATATCATATGTAGATCCTCCTTATTCTCTTTATACTTCTCCGTCAAACCTCTCAATAAATGTATAGCTTCCCTAGCACTTTTCAATTTACATCAGTTAGAAGAATTCAAAGACTAATACTGCATGTGCATGTTCATTGAAGAGAATGAAGAGAAAGAAGACTTGGATTTGTATCTTGCCACCCCAATCCCGTTATGAAATATGAAATTTAAACTATTCATTTTCAAATAAAATTTATTTATACTCCCTACAAAACACTTTCTGTTGCTAGATAAGATATTTTCTTTGGTAAAAGCAGTAAGAAAATTTTAATCTTAACATTTTTTAAGCAAGAACCTATAAAAGCCCAAAATATCATTATACTCACCTGGCAATGCACCATCACTTCAAACATGCGTGCAACATCAACTATGTCCACAGCAGTTGTTGCAATCTTTACAATATCAGCTCCAACAGCTTGAATCCTAGCTACAAGGCTACTAAGATCCTCAGTTGATGGTGTGCTCTGATAGTTATGAGAAGAAACAATTAGCTTAGTTCTATCTTGTCTTTTTCCTGATAAATAGTCCAGAAATTCCTGAGCAACCTGCAAGAAAGAAACACTTCAAACGTTGAAAAAACTATGTTAAACAAAGTGGCCTAGTTAACAAATACAGTGCAGGCGTTAAGAGGAGGCATGCTGCCTGAAAAATCTTATTTTTTAGCTCAATAGAACTAGTAGTTCTAGTCTGTGTGGAAGAAACAGGAATTTGTAACAAGAAATTCAAATGGATCTAACATCAATGACCTCAACATACATTTTATGAGGCTAAAAGACAATTGTCATTTTGTGAAAAATAAATATACTTACGAATCAACCAATTTTCTAAATAGAATTTGGGTTCCAGCTAGAAATATAAACAAACAAAACATATTTCCTTAAGAGAATTGTTAAAGAGAACAAAAAACTTATTTCCAAAAAGAGAAATGGTTTGTAAGCAGGAGAGTGGCAACAATAACAACATCAAGCCTTTATCGCACTACATGGAGTGGGCTACATGAATCTTCTTTCTCCATTATGTCGTGTTGAGTCAAATATGCATTTAAATCTAATAAAAAGTTCCATTTCTACTAATCACTAACCAAGTCTTTCTTGGTCTACCTCTACATCTCTTAACACAAGTCAAGTCTAATACATCTACGCTCTTAACCGAGTCATCAGAAGGTCAACATTTTTTTGTCCAAATCATCTAAGGAGACTCCCTCTAATCTTATCTGCCATTGGAGCTACTCCAACCTTTTCACATATATACTCGATTTGTATTATGTCCCTAAGAGTGAAGCCACTCATCCATCAAAACATCCTCATCTATGCAACATTTAGTTCCATGCTTCTCTTTCAATGGCATACATTCTGCGCCAAAAAGCATTGCATGTCTCACCATCATCTTATAGAGTTTTCTCTTAAATTTGTGTGATACTTTTCGGTCACACAACAGGCCCGATGCATTCCTCCACTTCAACCATTCAACTTGAATTCTACTAATAATATCACCAATCTACTTCATCATCACTTTGAACAATAAACCTTAGATATATAAAACGTGTACCCTTATTAATAACTTAATTGCCGAAAGTTAAAATCATCCCACTAGATCTACTACTACTACAACAACAACATCATGAAGCCTTTATCCCACTATGTGGGGATGAATCATTTTTCTCCATTGTGTCCTGTTAAAAATTAAATTCTCATTTAAATCTGATAAAGAAAGGTCACTTCTAATATTTTCTAACCAAGTCTTTTTAGGTCTACCTCTACCTTTCTTAACTTAAGTCAAATCTAAAACATCTAATTTCCTAACAGGGTCATCCAAAGGCCGCCGCCGTTTTATGTGATCAAACCAACTAAGACGACTCTCTCGAATCTTATCTTCCACTGGAGCTACTACAACCTTTTCACGTATATGCTCATTTCGTATTCTATCTCTAAGAGTAAAGTCACTCATCCATATGAGCATCCTCATCTATGCAACACTTAACATAATATTATACTTCTCTTTTAATGGTTGACATTCTGCACCATAAAGCATTATAGGTCTAACCACCATCTTATAGATTTTTCCCTTAAGTTCGAAGGGGACTTTTCTATCACACAACAAGCCCGATGCATTCCTCCACTTCAACCATCCAACTTGAACTCTACTAATAATATCCTCGTCTATTTCAACACACTCTGAACAATAGACCCAAGATAAATAAAACATGTACTCTTATTAATAACTTGATTACCTAAAGTTACAATCCCCCCACAAAAACCATTATTACTAAAATTATACTCCATATATTCAGTTCTATATCTACTCAAACGAAAGTCTTTAGACTCTAAGGTTGACCTTTATAATTCAAGTTTACCTTCAACTCCCTCTCTAGTCTGATCAATAAGAAGAATTTCATCAGCAAAAAACATACACCAGGGTACAACCTCTTGCAAATGTATAGTGAGAACATCCATGACTAAAGCAAAAAAATATGGGCTCAAGGTTGATCCTTGATGTAATCCAACTGAAATAGAAAAATACTTAGTAAAACCACCTTGTGTCTGAACACAAATAACAGCTCATACATACATATCCTTAATGACTTGAATATAGCATTATTAACCCCTTTCTTTTCTAGAACTCTCCATGGCACTTCTCTTAAAACTTTATCAAATGCTTTTTCAAAATCAATAAATATCATACATGGATACTCCTTATTCTCTTTATACTTCCGTATCAAACCTCTCAATAAATTTATAGCTTACATAGGAGACCTACCCGGCATGAATCAAAATTGATTTTGAGAAATATTAGTATCACGCTACAACCTATGCATCACATTTATTCTTAAAATTAAGAATCAACACACTCCTCCACTCATCTTACATCTTCATAATCTTCAAAATAATATAAAAAGTTTAGTAAACCAAGAAATTCCTTCGACTCCTAAGCATTTTCACGCCTCTCTTGGAATATCATCAGGTCCAATAGCTTTTCCACACTTCATTTTCTTTAAAGCCTCTCTACGTCGATAAAAACAAAAATCTTTATTTTTATTTAGGGTGTTAAGGTCACTAAAGTCAATCGCATTCTCATAATCTTCATTAAAGAGTTCATAAAAATATCTCAATCACCTTTTTTAAATATCCTCTCCTAATAAAAGCACTTCTTTATCTTCATCCTTAATACACAGCACTTGAAGTAAATCATTAGTACTCTTATCTCTATGTTTGTCTAACTTATACATATATCTTTCGCCCTCCTTAGTATCAAATCTATTATATAAATAATTAAAAGCTAAAATCCTTGCATCACATATTATTTTCTTAGACTTCTCACGGGCATCTTTATATATTTCCCAATTATCAAAATTTTTACAACTAAACCAATTTTCAAAACAAATCTTCTTATTTTTTTCTTTTTTATCCACTTTGATTCCACCGCCAACTATTTTTACTATTATGAGTTTTTCCTTTTAATACTTCAAGCACATCTTTTACAATATGTTTAATATCACTAGCTAATTTTTATCACATAACATTAGCTTCCTCATGTATAAACAAAATCTTAAGATGTAATATCTTACTCTCAAAAATATTTTTGTTAATATTTTTTAAATGCCTCTCATCTAATCCTAGAACAACGTCTTACTTTATTTTTTTTATTTTTGCCCCTTCATCTTAAAGTCCAAAACAAATAAACGATGTTGGGTACATAAACTTTCACTTGAAATAACTTTACAATCTTTGTAATTTAAACGATCTATTTTTCTTATAAAAAAATAATCAATCTGAGTTTTATGATATTCATTCTTATAAGTGATAAGATGCTCATCTATTTTCTTAAATAAAATATTAGCAATTACAAGATCATAAGCTAAAGAAAAATATAATATGATCTTAACACCTTTATTAGTCACTCCAAACCTATAGTCACCATGAGTGCTTTTAAAATCTACCTCTCTATCAGCATGTCCATTTAAATCTCCTCCAATAAAAATACTTTCTTCAAGATGTATCTTTTGTATTAATTCTTCTAAGTCATTCAAAAAGTTTAATTTTAAACACATGTCAAAACCTACTTGAGGAGTATAAACACTTATAATATTAATAAATTTAACATTTACAATAATTTTTGAAGTTATAACTCTATCTCTAATTCTATTAATTTTTACAACATTATCTTTTAAATCTTATTTATAATCATCTGTATCATTTCTAGTACGACTCTTACCAGAATATCATAGTTTAAATCATAAACTATTAATCTCCTTAACCTTCTCTTCAACTCATTTAGTTTCTTGAATGCATAGAATATTTATTTTCCTATGAATCATAATATATATTAATTCAATTAATTTGCCTGTAAAGGTACCTATATTTCAAGTTCATAACTTCATATCATTATTTTAGTTTCATAAACCAGTTTCTTTGCTCACATCAGTCTATGATGTGGGAACCCTTGCCTATTTAACACTGCACTCAGGCACTGGTGTGCTAGGTCGGCCCAAGGGCCTGCTAAACCGGTCCAATTTGGATCGGTTCTATGCTATAAGTGGCGGTTCAAAGGGGCGGGTGAAACTATGGGGAAGAGAGAGAGGGTCGACTGGAGATATGGGGCGCACAACTCAATTAAATCTTGCTTTGGGAGGGAAAATTTGTATTAGAGGATGTTTAGGGATTTTGTAATTGTCATATTTGCTTAAATTAATTTATCTTGCGAGGGTTAGGGTCTCATCTTGAATTTGAATCTGAATTTGGCATCTCTTGTGAGGTGCTAGGGCTCAAGTCTTTGGCTAGAGATTTGGAGTGTTGGATCTACCTCTCGAATTGAAGATCCTTGTATCGTTTGGTGATTTTCTTGTTCTTTTGTTGAATTGGAGACTTAAACTTGATGTTTTCTCCACTACATTTACAATTTCTGCATCACTTGTTGAATTTCTTTGAAATTCAACAATTTCTTGTACTTTAGTGGTTGTGTTCTATCACGGTGCAGCGGCCCTTGCACACTTGTTGATGTATTCATGTCATACAGCGCGTTGCTTCTAGGTAACGCCCTAGCATTAACACAATATATTAAAGGATTCATGCCATGACTATTTGACAAATTTCATGCTAGTTGTTGACTACTTAACACAACCCTCCACTTTTCTTGTGCAGGACTTGAGACCTGGCAACAACAGTGTTTGGTTTTAGATCTACTCAAACTAAAACCTTTCGATCTAAGGTTGACCTCCATAATTCAAGTTTTCCTTCAGCTCCATCTCTAGTCTTATCAACAAGAATAATATTATCTGCAAAAGGTATACACCAAGGTACATCCTCCAGCAAATGTTAAGTAAAAACATCCTAGACTAAAGCAAAAAGACATGGGCTTAAAGCTGATCATTGATGTAATCCAACTAAAATAGGAAAATAATTGGTCAAACCATCTTGTGTTTGAAAAAGCAGGACAGTGGCTGGGAAAAAAAATCAGCAACATACCAGCTTGACATTGATTATGGTGCAGTAAACTTGCCAAATCCTTCAATGATAATACAAATGTGAATTCTTAATAGAAATATTGTTCTTGGACATATTTAAATACTATTTAATTGTGCATGGTTCAGATCAAAATGTGTGGATCCTTCATCTCGATGTGAGGCCATTACAAGCAAGAAATAGAGCATAATTCTTTACACATTATAAACAACGAAAGTGAGATCAAAGTTCCAAAATTATAGCAACGTAGAATAAAATATGCTCATCATTCTTCTGCTTCTCGATTTCAATGTTGTACTATGTTCTGTCAATTTCCATGTCCTTCTAAGAAATTACTATTCTAACAATATCATAGAGATTTAAAGATAAATATTACAAACTGCAATTAGCCCAGCAATATTAAATAGATCCCAAGTGTTGGCAGTAACAATATTGTTGATAAATAAGTTGGGTGTGATGGAAATAAGAAATTTAAGATGGGTTTATAAAAAATTTGATAAGTATAATTAAAGAAAGATTATATTAGAGGAGATATTTAAGTTACATTTATTGATCAAAGAAGCTCTCAAAAATATATGCATAGATAATCTTGGAATGATTGGTGTGGATATATGAATTAAGTGGAGACTAAATTGCAAAGATGCAATTTTAAATTCCAAATAAAAAGAGGCAACTAGGAAAGATAATGAATTGGAGAGAATTAAGGGTATTAAAATAAATTCTCCCCACAAAATTAACCTGCTTAGGCTAAAAGTCAATAACCTTGTAGGGAAGAATCTAAAAGCGTGTAAGTTACTTTTGAGGGATGGTTCTATCTTCAAATTTCATTTTAATTTAGATATATTTCCAGATATATTTTCTGGATCTCTATAAATGGAGATCAAACATATATGCATAATTCAAAATTGGACTGAAAGAAATCTTAATTCGTATTTATCCGATACTTCTTCTTTTCCTCCAAATACCCACCTACTTGTCCCTCTCACAGTTTCAACTGTCCAGTCACGGTAATAGCTGCCTCCAGCCCTGATAGCCGCAGGAATTCAACCTAAAACAGCTGTAACTCCTTATACACTCGTCGGCCATTACCTCATACAGGTGTAGAATCAATCCAGCACTATCTCAGGCGCTGGAAACCTTTCCAGCACATATTTAGGTGTCATATTGCTCCCTGTTTTGCAAACAACAGCAAGTCTACTGAATGTTTAGATTCCGAAATAGTGTGAAAATCATCATCCCCCAAGATATTCCATAAAAATCCTAATCTTGTTCCCAAGAAACTTATAATGATTCTATAAGCCTTCCGCACATCTGATTCTAGATCATCTATTAAAACGTAAGGTAATTAAAAATAAACTTATTCTGGACATGTACAATAAATGACAGAAAATGACTCCTTAAACTAGTAGATAAAATTAGTGATAGGGAAGGGATTTATCAAAGGTAAAATGGATAGAAGTTGTTTAAAATAATTTGTAAATAATATATTTGGCATCTAAAAAACACCCAAAATAAATAAATGAAAACTAAAATTTATAAAGCTTACCCCAAATAGTTAGGATAAGGCAAATGATGATGATGAATACTAAATAAGTTTAGTTGTTAGTTTGTCAATCATAAAACTATGTAGCCTCTACACACTTTACCAATATTTGTGCAAATAACAATTTTTGTTACTCCAAGGTCGCATTACCATGAACACATTAAGTCCATGGCTTCAAAGCCATTGTGAATAAAACTCTCCTTTCTGACCTTTAACAGTCATGATACTTCATAAATTTAAAACTGCTATAGGACTATTGATGAAATATACAGTGAATGCTAATTGTGCTTCCCAATAAACCCTTATCAAACACCTCATTTAGTTGCATTTACCCGCCAAGAACTACCCCACACACCAACCCCACCAACCCCCTCATTTAATTGACCAAATCTTTGTATTTGATACTATAAAAAGTTTATAGACTGAAGGATTTTAGCGAAATGTTACAAATAAAAGAATGGAATATTCCTCTCATTTGTAAGTGATTCTCTAATATAATAGGTTAGAAAATCCCTATTAGGTAAGTAATTCAGTTGTCATTATGGGTAAGAGAGTCCCCATAGCTTTGGGTGAGTGAATCTCTACTATTCTTGTTTCAAGTAATTTTTCTTTCATGGCAATGAAATCTCTTTCTTAGTTATTTTCAATTCTACATTACTATTATTTGCGCTACATCAAATTAATATCAAAACATATTTCGTCATGTTTTTACCCGAGTATTTCGATAAGTGTCAATCAACAATGATGGGAGATATGCTTCGTCAAATACCAAACTCAAGATTGAGTTTCTTCCATGAAAGGGAGAATGATGAAGTATTTGTTGTATATTAATTGTGCTTTCTAACTACTACATACCCCTTATCCCCATCAACCACCTCAGTTAATTGGTCAAAAAGTACGTATTTGAAACTACATAAGGTTTAGAAATTGAAGGATTTTAGAGAAATCTTATGAATGAAATAATAAAATATTTCTCTCATTTGTAAGCGAGTCTCTGATAAAATAGGTCAAAAAATCCCTATTAGATAAGTAATTCGCTTGTCGTTATGGGTAAGAGAGTCCCCATAGTTTTGGGTGAGTGCATTTCTACGACCCTTGTTTCATATAATTTTTCTATCATGGCAATGAAATCTCTTTCTTAGTTATTTTTAATTCTACATTATTATTTGTGCTACATCAAATCAATATCAGAGAAGATTTTGTCATGTTTGGACCCGAGTATTCTGATAAGTGTCAATCGACAATGATGGGAGATATGTTTCATCAAATACCAAACTCAAGAACAAGTTTCTTCCATGATAGTGAGAATGATGAAGTATTTGGTGGATATTAATTGTGCTTTCTAACCACTACATGCCCTTTATCCCATCAACCACCTCATTTAATTGGCCAAAAAGTTCATATTTGATACTATAAATGGTTTAGACATTGAAAGATTTTAGAGAAATCTTACAAATGAAATAATGGATTATTCCTCTCATTTGTAAGTGATTCTCTGATAAAAGAGGTTAGAAAATTCCTATTAGGTAAGTAATTCACTTGTCGTTATGGGTAAGAGAGTCCCCATAGTTTTGGGTGAGAGAATCTCTACGACTCTTGATTCATGTAATTTTTCTATCATAGCAATGAGAATCTCCCACTTAATGAGCATATACGTGAAAAGGTTGGAGTAGCTCCAGTGAAAGATAAGATTAGAGAGAGTCGCCTTAGATGGTTTGGTCATATAAAACGACAGCATTCCAATGACCCGGTTAGAAAAGCAGGTATATTAAATTTGACTTATGTTAAGAAAGGCAGAGGTAGACCTAAAAAGACTTGGTTAGAAAATAATAGAAATGACCTTTCTTTATTAGATTTAAATGAGAATTTAACTTTTAACAAGGCACAATGGAGAAAAAGGATTCATGTAGCTTACCCCACATAGTGGGATAAAGGCTTGATGTTATTGTTATTAAAGCAATGAAATCCTTTTCTTAGTTATTTTTAATTCAACATTGTTATTTGTGCTACATCAAATTAATATCAGAGCAGCTTTTGTCATGTTTTGAGCCAAGTATTTTGGTAAGTGTCAATTGAAAATAATGGGAGATATGGTTCGTCAAATACCAAACTGAAACAAGTTTCTTCCACGAAAGAAAGAATGAAAAAGTATTTAGTGAATATTAATTGTGCTTTTCTCACCACCACATACACACACACACACACACCCCCTCCCCCCGCGCGGGGGATTCATGTAGCTTACCCCACAGTGGGATAAAGGCTTGATGCTATTGTTATTAAAGCAATGAAATCCTTTTCTTAGTTATTTTTAATTCAACATTGTTATTTGTGCTACATCAAATTAATATCAGAGCAGCTTTTGTCTTGTTTTGAGCCAAGTATTTTGGTAAGTGTCAATCGACAATAATGGGAGATATGATTCGTCAAATACCAAACTGAAACAAGTTTCTTCCACGAAAGAAAGAATGAAAAAGTATTTGGTGAACATTAATTGTGCTTTCTAACCACCACATACACCCCCCCCCCGAAACATAATACTTACTACAACCTAAGGCTGGTAAGCAAATATTGTAACAATGAAACACAAGCAATTTCACCAAACTGCACCCAAAATATATGGATTAACTAAAGTTTATTTGCTCTTATTCCTACTCCTCTTCCCAAATAAAGAGGTACTGTTAATTTTTGTGTAGTATGTAGCACACTTCAAAGTCTTATGTACAGCATTGCATACCAGCAAATATCGTCCCAGCCGCCCCCTTCCCTCATGATCCCATGGTCAGCATGGGGATTCATGGGAGGCTAACCTAGATAGCACCAATCTCCTTCCATATTTGGGTGGCTAATTTAGGAAAGATTATATTAGTACAATTATGCTTATTATGCAATTATTTGTTTCCTTATTAAGTATCTTATATAGATCTATAAATAGGGAGAGCTTTATGCAATAAACTTAAGCCTTTTCTCTCTCCAATTCTCTGAATTAATTTATATTTTACAGTTTTCTCAAAGTTAAGTGATCACGATTCATAAATATCAACTATACTGCACGCTCTATGTTTCCTTCACCAAACATGCAAGTGCTGAGAACATTTCGGACATGAATCTAAAAAACATTAATTGGAATGAAAAATGCATTTTCTCAATAGCATGTAAAAGTGTTGAGATAAGTACATAAATATAAAAAATACCATACTTATTATGTTTTGCATACACGTGATATTTGACAAAATGCTGAATTGAAGGCATGATACAGGAACATATAGAATGTATATTTCAATACAAGTTTTGAAAAAAAAAAAGTTATCAATGTTGCATATAGAATTAAACCAAAGCCAACCAGTGTCCATTAATATAATAATGCTAGAAATTCCAGTAACCTTAAGCTCAATATCAACGTAATCTGCTCCAAACTCCATGGCTAAAAAGAGTGCCTCAAAACGTCTGCCATCATCTCCTTCGTATTCACCTCCCTCCCACTTTGGTCTATAAAATGAAACATAAGAAACAAAAGAAAAATAAATATACACTTATTCACCATTGCATTCTCCAAGGAGCGCAAGAATTTCCCCTGAATGAACCACAATACGATACTGAATCAATGAATGAATTCTAAAAGATCTTTCAAACAAAGGTCATTCCACAACGTGCAAGTACGACTGGCTAAATCACTTTAAAAAAGACTGATAAGCTCAAAATATTGAACCTAGTGGCTAAAAGTTGACTGGCTACACTAACTATCAAGGGATTACATTGGTAACTAACAACATCTAGTACAAATGAGAATAGTGGAGGTGAAACCCAGTGAACTGTTGAAAAGCTCTGACAATATAGCAACAACAAAATCAAGCCTAACTACATGGGGTCGGCTACATGAATCATTTTTCTCCATTATGTCCTATTAGGAAATATATTCTCATTTACATCTAATAAAAAAAGTGTCATTTCTACTACGAGAAAAAGATCAAAATGGTCTCTTGATTTTTATGAAGGACTAAATGGTCCCCAACTATATTAGAGGATTTTGGTCTCTCAAGTATTTAAAAATGAATGAAAATAGCCTCATGCTAGGATTATTTTATTTCCTCTTTAAGGAGTTAAGGGATAAAAATGATCATTTAATATAGTTGGGAACTACTTTTATCTTTCATAAAGAGTCAATGGATCATTTTGATTATTTTCTCTATCTAATACTTTCTAATCAAGTCTTTTTAGGTCTACCTCTACCTTTCTTAATATAGGCAAGCTCTGATAATATAGCATTGAAACAATTTTCCATTCATGTAACCTAGAAATCTAGCATTGGCATAAGAAAAAATTGGCATTTCCATACTCTAATCGTCTAGAGAATACTTGAGCTTCACAAATCAAAACATAAACCGGTGCATGTTACTAGTAAGGAAGATTTGTCAAGTTAGAAACAAAAAAATGTAAAATTATAAACAGATTGATACAAAACAGGGAAAATATTTATCTAAACAAGGATCCTGGGATAAAATTGTCAAGTCTAAGCATTTCAAAGAAAATCACAACATAACTGTGGAGGTTCCACATAAGCAACCTTTAAATCATTACGGATAGTTTAAACTACATGACGTTCAAAACCATATCTAGAATGGTGATTTGGCAGTTTAAACGCCAATAAATCAAAGGAATTTATTTAGGTAATTAGTTTTCAAATATGCAGTACTCTGCCTTCAAAAGCAAGCTAATAATTATATACATAAAACAGAAATACACTTTTGTAAGTAATATGCTAAATAAGCATTTGAGCTTAAAGAAGTTACCAGACATGGCTTTTAGTTTCATCCAAATCGGATCAGATTGGTGGACACTTTCGGCAAACCCTATTTTATTTTAATCAGTATTAGCAAATTTCACCATTTACCTAGTCCTAATTTCATTTTGCTTCTACCAATATAAATAATCTTGAAACTCAAGATAATATTGTTAATTATTATCTACAATATCAAAATTACTTATGAATCGAGTTTCATCAATTTTCACAATAATTTAAGCATTCATCTAACATTTGAAAAAAGTAGGATGATTGGACTACAAATAGAATCCCTCTTAAAAGCCAAGTTTTACCCATATGTTTCACCAATCAAAATCATTCAATATATATTGAGTCCCATCATGAACTCATATAATTAATCTCCACCCATTTGAATGTCTTTACATTTTAAAACAGCAATAACCTTCTCATACAATTAAAATCATCCATTGCAAAAATTTTGATACATCTAACTATTAATCAAATGATCTTTAAATCCTTAGAAATCATGCATGTCATTTCTTTTAATGAGGTTGATCTAAATGGTTGATTTTGATCTTACCTTTGACGATAAAAAATTAATTGGAAGGAAAACAATGATTCAAAATATAGGTGAAAACTAAATCTCTATGAATTTATGTACAATGTAAATGTATAATGGGTTCTATTTTAAATTTGTTAGGATTTAGACTCGAGCAAGCGAGAGAGAGAGAGAGAGAGAGGGTAGCAAGTAGGTTTTGTTTTTTTTATTAGTGACATAAAGTAGAGGGTAGCAAGTAGACTTCCTATAGTTGTGGGCATGGAATTCGGCTAGCAATAAGCATTGTGTGCAGGGAAACCTATGAGCAAGGAGCGATGTGAGTGATTGCAAACAACCAGTCTGCAAACGGTTGAGTTACTAAGTGCATTTGCAAGCCGAGCAGAAAAAGTTTATTTCACAAATAAATAAATAAATTTTAAATATTTCATTAAATAATAATAACAAAAATATGAATCTTGTGAGTTACAATATATTTTAGATTCAGGAGATACTTTGAGTGATGTAGATCATGAATAGAGCGCGACAACAAAAGGCAATCACAAAAGGGAGAAAAGAGAAGAAAAAAGGCAATCACAAAACATGGGAGAAAAGAGAAGAAAGGAATGGCAGTCCTGAGAGAGAAGCCTTGTCTCCCTCCACAGCAATGTACTCATCTTAATGAATACAAAAGAAGCTTTTAAGCTTCTTATGTTAAGATTCATACTACCTCTCTACTCTCTCTCAGTCTCTCTCTCTCTCAAAGCTAGGGCTTATAAGTTTGTTAAAATGTGCCCAATATGATGCCTCATGGGATTTTTATGATAGGTCTTGGATTCCTCTGAGTATTTAAATCCCTTCCTCTATTGAACATTTGAATGCTTCTACATGATAATTTGATGCTGCTAACTTCCTCTGTTGGCTGCAAGCTGGCAGCAATGTAGGCAGCGTGCTCAACTACTAAGCACTATGGAGATATCTAGCAGTTAGTACCACTTATTGTATGTTGAGCAGCTAATCTTGAGAGATGGTTGTCAATTGGATGAAATATTTGAGACAATAAGATAATCATTTAGATCCATCCTCGTAGGTAAAGCAATGGTGGTGATATGTGCTTTGCATTTGAGGATCTATAACCAATTCCTAGATTGTGATTTGTTGGAACTACTAATAGTTGTAGCTACAATAGAAGTTTGGTGTTGAAAAGGTTTCTCAAAGCCTTTCAAGATTGAGCTTTTCAATTATGGGTCTTCCATGACTCGATACAAACGCAGGTTCTCAACTCTTATTCTCAAGATTTATATTTTCTGCATCCCACAATTCCCAGGGTTTCGAGGCCCTCTAGTCCTCATGTGCTCTTAACCCCCCAGCGTCGCGTTAGCTTTTACAACCGACTTCCCATGGGGCATCATGCGGTAGCAACTCCTATGAGCTTGTTGTATTAAAGGTGGAGTACATTTCAGGGTCACATTAGCTTTTACAGCCAACTTCCCATGCGTCATGAAGTAAACTGAAAGTTAGCCCCAGAGTTTATGTAGTCTTTAAATCTATGTTCTCCACATTTCATCGCTTAGGATCAAGAAAGTCATTTTTTCCAAGTACATGACTGACTCAATATGGCCACTCCCCACTAATGAGATTCCACAAGCAACACTCCAGGTTTCTCTAATTCTAGATCCACCTCTACTGTAGAAGAGGGAACCAAGAGTTACTCCATTGTAAAAGATTCCCAAGACAAAAAAAATAAGTGTTGAAGATCTAAGCATTGAATGTTCCTGAGTGAGCAGAGGAGATGGACCTGTAGGTGACGAGGGCCGGGAGGGGACGGTTTCTAAGCAAGAGATCTAGGTCTCGGCGGGGCTCAAAGCTTGCAAGGTGGTCGAGGCGAATCTCGACGACGTCGGCGCCGCGGACCTTCGCCGTCGCCATCTCACTCAGCATCTGCTCAACGGATTTTGCCACCAACGGCACGCACACCAGACTCACTCCGGCCATGTCGCTCTCTCTCTCTCTCTCTCTCTCTCAGAGGAACTGTTCGAAGAAACGGAGAAGCCTTTTGGAAATGACTTGCATATGAAGTGGACTAAGCGATCGTGGAACCTATCGGACTAAAAAGGGGTTGGTGAAGAAGAACAGAGGGGTTGGTGGGGTTTCGAATATATTTTTAATCAAATTAATTCAAATATAAATTATTCAATAGCATTATAATGGCATTTCTATATTTTCAGTTACCTTGTTAAATAGCAATTAATAATTGAACTACTACTATCTTGAAAATATAAAATTATTTTTTTGTTAACTCTTATTAAAAAATAATTAATTGTTGGTTTATTGATTTCATTTAAAATAAATAAATTTCTTTTTTAAGTTGATGAAAATATTTTACAAATACAAATAAAATAGTATACTCACACACATGAATGCGTGCAAGGATTTTCACACACATATTTTGACTGGATGCATCTCTATTTATATAATTTTTAAAATGAATCTAGATGGAATTCGAACCATGCCATGCAGTCAAAGATGGCATAAATGATTAAGGAACATCCAATAGAGTTTGTGCAAATGTCCTAAGTGTTCATAGGGTTGAATGCCAAATGGATAGGTAATTATATGGATTGAGCTCACATGGGCGGATTGACACTAATTTAAACTGACTTCTCAGGTTAAGATAATTGATTTGTTGAGCTGGAGGGGTTTCTATAATGTTCAGGGAAGCTAGTAGAGGCTTTGAATTTGGTTGGTTTGGTTAAGATTAGGTAGGATTGGGTTTAAGATTTTAAGTTAAATCGAGCAACCTTATTTAACCCACTTAGGTTAGCCCAAATGGGTTGTCCTACCAAGGGGAGCTAAGGCAGGGTGTTGGGATTTCAAGGGATTTAGTTTGGGTCAAAATAGTTTAAACATAGGCAAAGCTAGAGTAGTCGCCTGGGGGAAATTTAAGAATTTTGACCTAACCATGGGTAAGGGGTTGCTAAAGTAATCCTTGAATGGTTACAAGGCATTCAGATATAATCCTAAATCCAATTGCAAGAAAGTAGCCTAAAATAACAAAGATAGGTCCCTTAGGGCCATTTTGGGAATCATGGCATAACCATGGTTAAATTGTTTTTTACTATGGGTTAGGAATGAGTCTTGGTGTTCCATGAGTGGTATTGGATCATCTTTACTCTAACCATTAACTAAATGCATTAAATTGACCCTACAAATCCATGGATATGAGTACTGAGGTACTTTGGTAAATTTACCTTAGCCATGGTTAACATGGGTTAACCACAAGTTAGGGATGATCCTTAGGTGGGTTTAGACAACTTGGACTTGGTGTCAAAGCCAAATGAAAGAATTTGGCTTAGGGATATAGGGCACTTTGGTAATTTTACTACTTTAGTCAAATGAGTTGACTATGGATGAGAAATGATTTCAAATGACTCTAATAAGAATTATAAATCATTTTGAACGAATCCCGAGAGCAAAAGAACTGGTTTGAACATGTGTTAGGTTTAGTGTTTCTTTATTATTTTGGTCAAATATGGGTCCCCCGTGGTCAAAGAGGTTGACAATGTGTGCACCTTGAGTCAAAATATTCTTAAGATGGATTAAAAGTGTTTGAACTTAATCACGAAGCTAAATGACTTCTGAATTTTTATGTAATTTTAGGGTTTATTGAGTGACCTTGGTTAAATCATATTTCACCAAGGGTCAAAGAGATTAACCAACACTCCTTGACTCATAAGTCGTGTCACAACCCAACTCAATATGACCCAAAGATAAAATAGGTCACATCATGTTGAATAGTGATAGACCAAGCCAAGATCTAAGGAGACTTTTCATATTCCTTTAATTTAAAACATACGATAAAGCTACTAAAGAGCTTCCAATACACAACAAACAAACTCATTTACTTTTTTTTGTTTCGTTCATCTTCAATATATATATATGTGTGTGTGTGTGTGTGTGTTCTTAAATTTCCCACACACAGATAGGTCCCTTAGGGCCATTTTGGGAATCATGACATAACCATGATTAAATTGTTTTTTACTATGGGTTAGGAATGAGTCTTGGTGTTCCATGAGTGGTCTTGGATCATCTTTACTCTAACCATTAACTAAATGCATGAAATTGACCCTACAAATCTATGGATATGAGTACCGAGGTACTTTGGTAAATTTACCTTAGCCATGGTTAACATGGGTTAACCACAAGTTAGGGATGATCCTTAGGTGGGTTTAGACAACTTGGACTTGGTGTCAAAGCCAAATGAAAGAATTTGGCTTAGGGATATGGGGCACTTTGGTAATTTTACTACTTTAGTCAAATGAGTTGACTATGGATGAGAAATGATTTCAAATGACTCTAATAAGAATTATAAATCATTTTGAACAAATTCTGAGAGCAAAAGAACTGGTTTGGACATGTGTTAGGTTTAGTGTTTCTTTATTATTTTGGTCAAATATGGGTCCCCCGTGGTCAAAAAGGTTGACAATGTGTGCACCTTGAGTCAAAATATTCCTAAGATGGATTAAAAGTGTTTGAACTTAATCACGAAGCTAAATGACTTCTGAATTTTTATGTAATTTTAGGGTTTATTGAGTGACCTTGGTTAAATCATATTTCACCAAGGGTCAAAGGGATTAACCAACACTCCTTGACTCATAAGTCGTGTCACAACCCAACTCAATATGACCCAAAGATAAAATAGGTCACATCATGTTGAATAGTGATAGACCAAGCCAAGATCTAAGGAGACTTTTCATATTCCTTTAATTTAAAACATACGATAAAGCTACTAAAGAGCTTCCAATACACAACAATTTTCTATCAATGGCCAATAATTTGAACCACTAAGAAAATTTTTAGGTTTTTAAAATTTTACCAAATTACCATGGATTATATAGAAAGTTGTTTTGAAGCTTTAAATATGCTACAATTTTATTTTTCAAGATCAAAACTATTTTTTAATTCGTAAAAAATAGTGAACTTTTTTATTTATGAGGTGAAAATGTTCAACAAAAATATTAAAATATTTATACTGATTATATCTACAACATACAAAAAATTACATAGTGAAAGTTTAATGGATATAAAACTATCATCGTTTCTACGCTACAAAACTACAATATTGATAAAAAAATCCCTATTTTTTATTTTTGAAAATTAAGACAGGAAAAATACATCCTACCTCAATCTGGACAACTTATTAAACTAGACTGACAATTAAAAAAAGATAGAAGTCACCCGAATTAGGGGTGTCAATTTTTTATACGACCCGAAACCGACCCGGACCCGACCCGACAAAATCCGAGTTTGGGTCAACCCATTTGTGAAATGGGTTGGGTTCGGGTTCGGATTTACAACCCGTTTAAAAAATGGGTCAGGTTCGAGTTGACCCGAAAACTCGCGGATCAACCCGATTTGACCCGTGAAATTCAATTTCCCGCCTCACCCATCTATCGGTCTGTCACGTCGCCATCTGTGGTCTGCCGCATCAAGCGTCCAATCCGTATCTCTGACACGTCACTTTATCATGTCGTCGTCCCGCGTTAGGTGTCCGTTGAGCGGTCTGTTGCGTCCATCGCTCCGGTTGTCCAGTATCCGGCAAGACATCTGCTCTGTCGCAACGTCAGACGACCACTACAGGCGTTCAGCTATCTGGACTCCAACTTCCAGACCAGTCACTGCTGGCCTCACCGCCGTCACACTCAAGGCGTTAAGCCATCGGACGGCCTCAATTCTATGTTCGTAAGCGCGTTCGACGACCTCAATTTGCAAGCACATCCGGGGTTCGCGGGTCGGGTCGGGTCAACCTTTAACCCGTGCGGGTCAGGTCCGGGTTAGATTTCCTGACCCGTTTGTGAAAACGAGTAGGGTTAGGTTCAACCCGTTTTGATCCGGGTCAATCCGAGTTCAACCCGAATCCGACCCGCAGACCCGTTTTGACACCCCTAACCCAAATAGATTTTATCTCTCTAAAATCTCTCTCTATGTCGACTGTCTCGCTTAGAGGGAGAAATTTGGCAAAATGAATTTTTAAAATTTTATATAAATTTTCTTGGCGCCACAATGCTCTATATAACAGTATTGAAGTGCTTTTAACATAGAGCACACTGTCGCCAATCCCAACCTAGCATTTTAGTGCTCCTCTTATTTTAAGAGAACAATGCAACGATGCCAACTACCCTGTTTTCATGATACTCCCATGAAAAAATTTTAAGATTTTTTTGTTCATGCATACAAACCCCTGGGACCCGCTTCATAATAGATTTCGTGCATTTACATATTCATAAAACACTCACATACATGAAAAAAATAATGTAGAAGTTTTAATACCCAAACTTAATGGACCAGGTCAGAATAGGTACAATTGAACATTATTTTATTGTGTATTATAGGTTTATTCCATGAATGACATTAGATTTCTAACTAAGTCATAAGCTCATGGGTTACCTAAGGTTTAGGGTTATTTTATAGTTTTAGGCAATTTAAGGTTTGATCAATGGTTAACCTCAAGTTTGAGTTATTGGGTTCCTTACCTTTATAGGCTCACTAGGAAGTGTCCTAAGATGTTCATGGGTTTTGACTCAATGTAGGCTTCCATTACCCTACTGAAGTTTTTCACTTGGGTAATTTTGGGTAAAAGTTATAAGTTTTTATCTAATTTAAATATGTTTATGAAACTTTCAACCATAAAACTTTTGTTATGTCATAAAATAGAGAATTATAAGCATTTTTACAAGAAAAATTAAAAGTCTCATCATGTGATTTTAAATGTGCATCATACAAATTATTTTGTTTTAACTAAAAGTGTTGTAGAATGATAAAAGCCCCAAATTGATGTTGCAAACATCATCTATGAATGATATTATATTTTACCAACATTGAGCATATGTGCGACTATTTTCCTCAAAAATACTACAGTCATCATACAAGCAAGTATTCTATGTGATTCCTACAATATGTTAATACTACTTGCATATGTTGAAACTATTGATATTAATGTTCTTACATGCTAAAAATATTGATGTTGTTTCTATACATATTTAAAATATTAATGTTCATGTGTTATTGATTCAAATTACAAGTATTGTTTTTTTTCATGTTCATGTGCTT